GAGGGACTGTGTGAGGTCACAGGAGGGACTGTGTGAGGTCACAGGAGGGACTGTGTGAGGTCACAGGAGGAACTGTGTGAAGTTATAGGAGGGACTGTGTGAAGTCACACGAGGGACTGTTTGAAGTCACAGGAGGTACTGTGTGAGGTCACAAGAGGGACTGTGTGAGGTCAGAAGAGGGACTGTGAAGTCACAGTGACTGTGTGAGGTCACAGGAACGGCAGAGTGTGAAGTCACAGGAGGGACTGTGTGAGGTCACAGGAGGGACTGTGTGAGGTCACAGGAGGGACTGTGTGAAGTCACAGGAGGACTGTGTGAGGTCACAGGAGGACTGTGTGAAGTCACAGGAGGACTGTGTGAGGTCACAGGAGGACTGTGTGTGGTCACAGTAGGACTGTGTGAGGTCACAGTAGGACTGTGTGAGGTCACAGGAGAGACTGTGTGAGGTCACAGGAGGACTGTGTGAAGTCACAGGAATTGTGTGAAGTCACAGGAGGGACTGTGTGAGGTCACTGTAGGACTGTGTGAGGTCACAGGAGGGACTGTGTGAGGTCACAGGGACTGTGTGAGGTCATAGGAGGGACTGTGTGAGGTCACAGTAGGACTGTGTGAGGTCTGATGTTGCTGATCAAACATGCCCAGGTAGGGAGGAGTCAGAGCCTCACATTTCTGATTTGATATTGTTAGTCTTCTGATTTTAGAAATTAAGGAAAAACACACACAGGAGACATAGCAGTTTTTGTTTTGAATGAATGTATAGCTCAAACCATTTTCATCTCCCTTCAGTGATTTTTGCTGTTATGCCCAGGGATGGCCACGCCCCTCTGGTTTCTTTTGCATCGCCTGTTGCTGATGAGATGGCCAGTCCTAAACAATTACGTCATCTCCATTCAGAGCCGGGCCGTTCCTGAAACCCAATATAATCTCCACGAGTTCAAGCTGGGTACCTTCCCAGGGTCTAGCCTCGGCTCAGCCAGCTGGCCTGCGTTTGTGCCTGGCGCTGTCCTTGATGACTGTGTGAGCCTCCCGCTCCTCCTCTGTTAATAAGAACTGCACTAGTCTCTGGCTCATGACTCCAGCAGGAGAAGCACCAACTTAATATAAGTGATTCCCCCAAACAGCCCCAGGCACACAGGGAACAGCATGTGAACGTTCAGTTTTCATTCCTTAGCTTTTCTTCCTTTAAACTGGCTGAGCCAGAAATTACAGGGGTGAAAGCCCTTTCCTGCCTTGGGGTTGTTGATGTGGATAGACCATCATGATCCCCCAAGGGGCTGAACAGTGGAGCCTGGTCAGCCGGTGGCTTTGGAGACAGACAGCCTGGGACTCTGCCTGAAGTAGAAGGGACTGCTCAGCCTCCTGATGCCCCAGAGATCTGATCAGGAGCCGGTCTCTGTGTGCCTGGTGGTTCTCTGGCTTGGCCCATCACCTTTGTTCCATAGGCTAGTGCCCAAACCATATTCCTTGTTCTGTCTTAGAAAAACAAGGGCGTCAGAGTCCCATGGTCACAGAAACGTATGACGATGGTGACATGTGGCTTTAATCTGTCTCTGAAAGTCAGCTCATGTGTTCCTTCTTACCCCAGCCAGAGTTACCTCATGACAGTTATTTAACTAAACCCGAGGAAAATGACACAGTATCTCAACATTCCAGACTCTGGCAACCGCAGTCTCAGTAGTGATGATTCAGGGGTCGGTGGTAAGGGGTGGAGGGGTCAGGAAGGGACGAAGGTCAGAGCACAAGGCTTGGCACATCTTTAGAAGTAATCTGGGATGAGAGCCAGAGAAATTATCTACTAAACACACACACACTCAGCACAGGACTCCTTAACACTGTCACTGGACAC